GAAAAGGTTGGGTCAAAATTAAAAAAAACGCCGAGTGACACTGGGGACTTCTCTCGTACCAAACTCCCAATGAACTCCATGATCTTGTCCGGAACCGGCTTATTCTTTCTAAGGAGCCAGCCGCAGTAAAGTAAAAGTAAGCGGAGAGAGTTGATACTGTCACTGCAAGTGATATCCGATAGGTGGCGCGAACGGGAGATATGTCCTTATTTTTGCGAGTGGGAGGAAGAACTGGCTAGATGAGAAAGAGGGTTTTCCAAATGGGTACTTCAGACCTTGGGGCACGACCTACTTCTCCGGAGCCCTAACCGACAAAGGGTTTTCTTTGGGGACCCTGACTCACAAGGCGGTTGGGCGTAGATCCAACGCGGGAGCGTGACCGAAGCACTCGTGTGGAAGCTTCTATATCCCTGTTGCGCAAGGCTTCTGGGTTTCTGTTCAGTGTGCCGTTCGTTGGTGCGTTTATTGACGGTCCGCTTTTCGGCATTGGCTCTTAGCTTCATGCACCCAATGAGACAGGCAGAACGCAGCAGGATTGCACTTTATTAGGTGGTGGCTGCCCACCCTGGTCGGTCAGTATCTCTCCAGTAGAGTGCGAAGACTTATCCTACCATCAAGCGTAAGCCCCATATACCCCACTTCTACATTTATCTAGCGGAGATGTTTTGACCGGTAATCTGCCCCCTCCCGCCGTGTTTATTTTCCGTAGTGACCTCTCAGGGAGCCAGAGTGGGTAGTTAAAGGATAGTCAAATGAGACACAAACCGAGGCTTTTGCTGTTGTCAACAACCTAAGCCAATTAGTTGGCCTCCCCACACGCATCCCTGATCGTATTGGTGATCGCGCCTATACGCTTAATCTCATTCTCACATCCATTCCCTCTTCTTTCTCCAACGTCACTTCCCTTTCCCCATTAGGCTCATCGGACCATTGTTTCATTTCTTTTCTCACTCATTTATCTCAATCCATTTCACCACCAAACTCCAGACGTACCTTTTGGCGTTACGATTCAGCCAACTGGGACGGTTTTCGTGACTTTCTGGTTTGGTATCCCTGGAAGGATTGTTGTTTCAAATCGGATGTTTCCAAGTCTGTTTCAAACTTCACAAAGATTGTTTTTCAAGACATGTATCTTTATTTTCCACGCTTTTCAAAACCCGGTAAATCACAATCCTCTGAATGGTTTAATCATGCTTGAAACGTTGCTGTACGTTTTAAAAACTCAGCATTCCACCGTTGGCGCCACTCACTCAGTCCAGCATCCCGCAACCGCTTTTTGAAAGCCAGAAACAAATGCTCGGTCACTATTCAGAGAGCTAAAGAATGCTTCATTTGTCACAAAACTACGCGCTTGGCTTCGTCCGCCACCGATAACCGAACATTCTGGTCCCTCGTTTCACGTAATTTCTGCCCTTCCAACTTTCCTGCCATTTGCAATTCCTCTGGTACTCTTTTTTGTGCTCCCCACGAAAAAGCAGAGGTCTTCGCTTCCGGTTTGCCTCCAGCTCCACCTTATCTGCCGCCTCTACTGTTCAACTCTCCTCCTGCACACCCCGTCACTCCTTTCTACCTATCATAACAACCAGAAAGGTCCGCCAAACTCTTCGCGGTTTTGATGTTTGTAAACCACCCGGTCCGGGCGGTATTCCACCTGTCCTAAAAATGTGTGCCCCGGAGTTAGCCCCTGTTCTACGCCGCCTTTTCTGTTATTCACTCGAACTTAAATCTTTCCCTACTCCATGGAAAAACGCCATTATTTTTCCAATTGCAAAGCGCGGCGACCCTTCCGACCCCAACAGCTACCGTCCCATTACTCTCACAAATGTAATCTTGAAAGTGTTTGAAACCATTATCTCCGACCATCTGCGTACGTTTCTCTAACGCGAAGTTTTGTTAAATGNCGTCGATCTACGGGTGACTTACTGGCGCTTACATTAAATTCCTGGTCGGCTGCACTCGATAACCACAGAGAAACTCTCGCTCCACATTTCAAAGGCATTCGACCGCGTTTGGCATGAAGGTCTTCACTGGCTTCACTGTTTCCTCAGCAAGCGAACCATCTCCGTCCGAGTAGACGGGGTCCTATCTCAGCCATTTCCTGTAAACGCCGGTGTTCCCCAATGTTCCATACTTTCCGTCACTCTCTTTCTCTTATTTATCAACAATCTTGTATCCCAAACATCTAATCCTATCCACTGCTTTGCTC